GCTCTCTTTAAAGCTGTTCATCATGGATTTGTGTGATTATGATTATTATTATTATTAGAGACAAGGTCTCACTATGTAGTTCAGGCTAGCCTTCAACTCACTATGTAGGCTCACCTCAAATTTATGGCAACTCTCCTGCCTCAGCCTCCCAAGTGCTGGGATTACAGCTGGGTGCAACCACACCCAGCTGGTTTGCACTGATTTTGATTTTATTTTTGAATATTTATTTGATACAGGGTTTCACTGCACGGCTTGGTGGCTGGCACGGAGCGAGGCTGGCAGAGCATGTGGTATATCTCTCCAGCCCAATTTTGATTTAAAAAAATATTGCGTTGACATATTCTTTATCTTGATTATTAAGGGTTTTTTTGCTTCGCCTTAAGTTTTGTACCTAAGACAAGTGCCTGCCAGCCTCACCACAGGCCCAGGCTACACATGGCGGACGCGCTTCAGCAGTGCCTTGTCCGGACTAAGTGGTGAGTGGGCTCGAGGCCTCCCTCACAGCTTGTATCCTGGCCTCAAAGAGGCAGCTCAGCTCAGCTTTAGAGCGAGGACAGCTGCGGGGAAAGCGTGCATCTGCCTGGACGCGCGCTTCTCCTGGGCTCAGGCTCTGTAAACAGCTCGTCAGAACCTGCTGAACTGTGGGCCTTTGCGCTGAGCCGTGGGGCACAGGCGACCCTGAACCCAGGACATTCAGCAGGGCAGGGTGTCGGCTCCCCCATTTCCACCCACCCATGAAGGGTCCCAGGACTACATCCCACCAAGAGGCCGTGGTACTGTCAGGGCCCTGGGGACTGGGATAATGCTAGTGGTGTTTTTTTCTCATCTGATCCTTGTGACATCTCTATGGGTAGGTAGGTGTACTTACCACTTTTTAAGAAACTTTTGTCTTTTTGAGACAGGGTTTGCTATGCAGTTCAGGCTGGCCTTGAGCTCACTTTGTGACCCAGGCTGGCCTTGAACGCACAGCAATGCTCCTGCCTCAGTGCCGGGGTTATAGACATGTGCCACCTCGCCTGGCCTTTATATCATATCATTATATGGACAAGCAGCGCGGGCTGTTCCTGGGAAGACAGGAAGCTTCACTGCTGAGCTCTCCGTGCTTATCCTGAGCTGACTCATTTGGTGCCTTCCTGTGCCAGCTCTGGGTGGGCACACGCTCAGGAATGCCTGGAACACCTTGCTGCTGCCTGGGCTGCAGGCTCAGGCACCCCAAGAGCTGCCTGATGTCACTCTGTGGCCTGCCCTGGGTGAACACAATGTCCCTCTTCCACATTCCCAGCCAGCCAGCCCTCTCCAGCTATGTTTAGGACTTTCTAGGCGGTACCGCCAGCAGGCAGGGTCTGAGAGGATCTCCAAAAACCCACGGTAGGAACGAATTCTTCTCTACGTACCACTGGGTATACTCCCTCTCCTAGGTCTTTCCAATCTAGAGATCCAGGGTAAAGAAGCCAAGCTATTCAGATATGCGTACGACTAGGCCTGGGAGGAGGGTGACTTACGCCCATGCCAAGAACGAAAGTCCAGGCTGGAAAGGGGATAAGAGATGAAGGGGAGGGAGAAGGGGAGGCAAAAAGACTTAGGGTGTGTTATACAACGTGACAATTCCCCACTACGAACGCAATCATTATGCATTGTAAACAGTACTAATAAAAGTAAAATTTAGAAAGATCAGTGATTTTAAAAAAGCCTACTGGCCTCTAGTAGTGAATAGTTACTAGTCATCCATTACTGATTTCCAGCCTACCTTCCGACTCCAAACAACTTCATTGTTTTTACCTTTCATGAAGTCCATATTTCTATGGTTTAGCTCTTCCCAAATTAAATTTCACTTAGTAATTATTTCTTGACCATTTATTCTATAAAACCCCATGCATGATTTTAAATTATAATAGCTTTAGATCTTCCACGTTATTTATTTATTTTAGTAGTACCAGGGATCAATCTTCAACCATTTTATTTTTTTTTTTCAATTTTATTTATTTGTGGGGGGGGCTAGCTCAGCCCACCAGGGGGCGGGGCTGGCTGGCATGTGGTGCTGGGGGATTGAACCGCGGTCCCTGTGCTTTGCTAAGCTTGTTCTAAGTAGGTGCTTTAGACCACTGAGCCATCTCACCAGCCCCTCTTCCACCATTTTAGACAAGTTTTTATATATTATGTTGCCTGACCCCCTCACCTTTTGGGCAAGAAAGCTGGCTCAAATAATGTCATGACATACAGCTAAATAACAAAACTTAGTGGATAATGATGCAGTTTTCCCCAGGAGAGCATTGAAACAGGGTCAGGAAGAGGTATCAGCCAGGGAGATGGCTCAGTGGAATAAGCGCTTCCCTGGCAAGCACAAAGGCCTGAGTTCAATCCCCGGTTCCGCCAAGAAAAAAAAAAAAAAAAAAAAGGAAGAGGTATCAGTGAGACCCTGGTGCCAGGGGAGTGAGGGCTGTGCCTGAGGTTGTCAGAGGCCTTTCTCCTGGACTTCCCAGTCCTGCCGTGTCCTGGCACAGGCGCTAGGCAAGCAGGCTAGGGACAGGATGCTGTAGCACCTACAGCGCGCTCCCTCCCGCCCCAGCCTGAGGACCCAATCTCTCAATCTTCTGTTGAAGTGGATGTTTTCCTCCTAAAACCAAAGGAGCTATGTTCCTTCCTCAATCTGAGGTTTTTGCACTTTACTATTACTGACCTGCTTTCTGGTCTGTAAATGTGGACCCAGTCTACCCTGGGTGCTAGAGATGTGGTAGAGTTCCTTCACCGGGGGTGGAGGCAGAACCCCCAAATTTCCAACAGTGATTGACGTCTGGGTCCTAGGTAGGTACATGGAGGCGTTTTTACAGTCTCTGCTAACAGGCCCTGCTTCTTAGGTGACCCGGCGCTTCGGAATCCCAGGGCTGAAGAAAACCATGGACTGGTTTGGCTACTATGGAGGCCCCTGCCGCGCCCCACTGCAGGGGCTGAGCCCTGCCGACGAGGAGGCGCTGCGTGTGGATTTCAGCAGCAATGGCTGGCTCTGAAGGTGAGGAGGAGGGTGGAGGGGGCCAGGAGCTCCTTCCTACCTCACGCCTCAAGTCGGCCTTTCACCGGGCAGCCCTGGGCAATCAACCCTTCTCCTATTTTCTAGCCTGTGATGTCTCACATTTATGTCCTAGATGCTGACCCTACAGACCTGCAGGCGGCTGGGAAGGAGCAATCTCCTATTTGCCTCCACGTTGTGGACACTTTCCTGTATCCCAAGGCCCACAAACTTGAGACCTGAGGAAAAGAGGAGAGGGGCAACGGGTGGCAGGGAATTGAATACCGTGGGGATGATTACTTCGACTTGGAGCTACAGGCCTGCGTCCAGCACCATGCAGCTGGAAGTCAGGGCTAGTCCCAAACACACACGTTCGGACTCATTCCAGAGAATGTAGCAGCTTAGGAAATCTGACCAGGAAAGTGTTGCTGGTCTTTGGAAGGCCCCAAATTGTGTGCCAGCCACGCTGCCCTTTCCTAACTCCGTCTCCATTCAGTCTTGTTAGCTTTGATTCTCACCGTCAACCTGGTAAATAATGACACCTGGTGGCAAAAGCTTGGCCTACATTCTGGACTAAGAGGACCAGCCCAGGCCTGAAACACTAAAGAGGGGACTTGGCATGGGACAGAGCCATCTTCTTGTCTGTACGCACTCTGCTCACTGTTAAAAATAATCATGCTGTTACGATAATCAATTTTAACAAATAAAACTACTGTGGCTTTGTAGCAGGTTTCCTGGCCGGATACTAAGAATACACCTGGAGGTAATGGGGCCCTCACGCTCTGCCTTTTTCTAGCTCTGAGAGGCCGAGAGAGGCCCTAACAATACTGAGCAAACAGCTACCGATGAGTGCAGGCCTGGCAAAGGTTTCATGGTTTCAAATAGGGACTATAAAGAGGTAAAATCACACAATACTTAGCACACAAATGAGAGGTTGCTTTCTCCAAAATATATAACCCTTTTCAGTGATAATATCTGACTAGTGGCAGAAAACTGAGATAATTTTTAAAAATGTTATTAAGAGAAGTTACCCTAGTACTCAGGAGTCTGCAGCAGGATTGCCATATGTTCAAGGCCAGCCTGGGTTACACTGCGTTCAAAGCCAGTCTCAGCTACATAGTGACATCCTGACTCAAAAAAAAAAATAAAGGGTAGGGATGTAGTTCAGTGGGAAGGCATTTACTTCAATCCTCAGTACTGCAAAAAGAAAAAAAAAACAAAAAGTTTAATATAAAAATTAAAAACAGTAAACTGGACTTGATGGTTCATGCCTGTAATCCTAACACTAAGGAGGCTGAGTCAGGAGGGCTGTGAGTTTAAGGATAACCTGGTCTATACAAGTTTAAGGCCAGCATGGAACATAGTGAGACAAAAAACAATAAAGTGTAAATTGTGCATGTGGTGCACACCTGTAATCCCAGCACTCTGGGAGGCTGAGGCAGGATTGTAAATTCAAGCTTAGACATTTAGCAAGACCTTATCTCTCTCTCTCTGTCACACACACACACACACACACACACACACACCCCCCAGCATGGGATGCAGCTCAGTGCAAAGCCTGGGGTTCAATCTCCAGTGCTTGAGGGTGGGGCTGGGTGTAAAAAGAGGTAGCTAATTTCTTGTTAGGTTAGAGCAGACTGTAAGATAATCTACAACTGAAACTGGGAATCTGATGGCACTAAAGGTTGGGACATGGTCACTGGCCCCTCACAAGCACTTTCCAGAGAAGCTGGGCTCCGAAGAGTCAGAGGTGGCCAGAGGGAAAGTTGGGCTGGGGAGGTAGGTTAGCTTACTGGTCAAGAGCTTAGCCTCTAGGCTCCCAGACCTGTGCTTAAAGTTTAGAACCTGCCCCTTCGTGTCTCTGGGATACTGGGGAAGCAAGCTAATTTCTCTGAGCCTTATCTGTAATACAGAGATGATACACCTTCCTTCCAAGGCCAGAATGAAGATTAAGATCATCATGTGAATGGGCTCATGGGGTGATGTTCGTACAGACAGATGCTGACTCGCCTAAGGTTATCAGCAAGCCTGGAAGTAACTTATCTCAGTGATACTGGGATGGAGGAGGGTGTCCAGTGGAAAGGGAATTAAATCAGAAAGACTAGGATAGAAATCTCACCAGGCCCTACCATTCACTGGTCTCAGTAACCTGGGCTTGTCTGATTTAAAGGAAAAGTTATGCTTTCTACTCTACAGAGAGTCTAGCAATCAGCTGACATTATACCGCAAGGTGTCAGTTCTAAGCCCCATTCTGATGAATTCTGAATAACCAAATGGGCTGATACTCTGAGGAGACTGGACAAGAAAATCATGAACACTATCAATAGGCAGTTCTGGTGATTTTTTATTCTTATAAATACTTGTTTCTACAGGACACTTAAAAGAATAAATAGAGGCACACAGCTATAATTTCCACATAATCTGCTGCTGAGGGAGATTTGGTGTGAGGAGGGGAGCTGGGGGCGTGTCTGAGTTCCAGGGCACTTCGATGCCTCAGGACGAACTATGTAGCGATTCTGCCTGCCCAGCTCTGACCCAGGTCCG